ATATTAAAACTTTTACAATAAGATTTTGGAGTTAATTATAAAGAAAAAACAGCTTCCCATGGGAAATAGATTTTGTTTTGGTTTTTACAAGACATAACAAAGATAAACAATTTAATAATTTCAAAAGCTGGACACTACAGGGGACTACAGTTTTTAGTTAGAGGAAAGATTTACAAGCATGTAAAATATTGCAAAACATATAACAATAAAAAAACTGAAAGCAACTTTTGAAGAATGGAATCAGAAAATAGTAGCCACAATATCGACAATGTCAGTAATGTTGTTTGCTTCTATGGATAGACTATGTCCAAAAGATGTTACTGAAGAAATGACAGATGAAGAACAAATTTTATCTGACAAGATAGAGATGGTATTGAAAGTGGATTTACAATTACAAATCCTAGGACAATATTTGAATGAACTAAAGAATAAGAGTGTTAGAAGCAGAAGGAAGGAATATAAAGCTGGTTTATTTGGTCAAGCTTAAAACAAGATATGTTGTTACTTCTGGCGATCCTTTATGGACTTTCTGCTGACACCAGGACTGAAGAGATGATGTTTTATGGATTTGTTTATAGATAAGAAATGGGATATGGATGAAGAGATGTTTGTAACCTCAGAGGGGATGAAGAGTCACTAAGTTTGTTTATACTTGTTGTGATGAAGGTTGGAAATAACTTCTTTATACATTTCTTTTCTCTTTTACTATATTATTTTTCTCCTTTTTTCTTGCACTTTTTTCTTGCATGTTTTACTCCTTTCTATTCTCTTTTCTTTAAGTTTAGTTTGCATTAAATTTTATTATTATAATTAAAATTCATATATATATCAATACCTACTACAGTGTTACTTAAAGTATGGTCTGAGGACCCCTGGGGGTTCCCCAAAACCCTCTCGGGGGCCCATGAAATCAGAATTATTTGCCAGATAATCTTCAATATTTGCAAAAATTTAAAACAATGCCCCTCTTCTCATTATTATTATTTATTTGTTAAAAAAGTGTTTTTCATGAAAATATTTTATTTATGTTAATATCTAATGGGTTTAATAGTTATTTTTACATGATTCGATAAATGCTCTACAAATGCGTCAATTTGAATTTTTAATATGATAAATGTCAATAAATGTAACCCATACAAACAAAAGCTCTTTTGGGGTCCTCCATAATTTTTAAAAGTGGGAAGGGGTCCTGACAGCAAAAGGTTTAACAAACACTGACTTAGTATATTAAGTGTGTTGAATGCAGACATTGGAGAACACATATACAGTATCTACCACTCATAGGAAAAAAACCAGCTTTCAGATAGACAGGATGGACAACTTGAAGCCCCAAAGCCTATTTCTGATGTCCCCAAAGTCACTTCTAACCAGAGGCGCAAAAACCTGGTGATCCAGCTTCTTGCCATTCTGAAGTGGAAAACATGTAACAAGAGAGAGCACATTTTCAAGTAAGTTTTAATGTAGTTTTTACACTAACTGAAGAAAACCTAAAAATACAAAGGAATCTCCTTAGAAAATCCTGGCCCCACCCAATTTGTATTATCAAAGCGTGGTCATTAAATGAAATAAGATGGTCATCGCTGCTATTGACCCAGCAGTCAACCTGTAAAGTCTGGCAAGAATTATAGAGATGATACATAATGCATGTCAAATGCTGAGACCTATAATATAATAAAATGTGCATGATAAGACAAAAGAAGAGGACTCAAACACACATTAACAACTGTTGTTTCAGCCTCTTACATATTCTTGCTCCCTGTAGAGAAAACCTCTTCTAAATTTCAAATTCCCTGGGAGAAAAAGGGGACTCACCTCATCAAATGTTTTGTGAGGATGGATAACCATTTGTGATTCGTAGGTTCGGACACGGACAAATTCAGGATCTTCTGGGACGCCTGGGTGCTCAACCGCTCTGACCAAAAATAAGAAAGAGGACTTGTACTTCACAAAAGCAATCAACCATCAGTTCAGTTCTAGGGCTGCAGACATTGTGTAATTGTAGAGAGTAAGAAAGATGATATTGTCAGGATCTACACAATCAACTATCAAAGGGCTATTAAAAAGTTATTAGAAAATTTATAATTTTAACAGGCATGTGCTAATTAGCTAGTAAGTAAAAATGTTAGTTTAGGAAGGAATCATAAGTTACGTAGTTGCTTGCTTGTTCCTGCCATAAAAGGAAAGAGGGGAGATGAAGAATAAACAACAAAGGCCAGGTGCGTTGTTATCTAGCCTCGAGGCACCGGCAAGGCTGAACAACCGTGAGACCAAAGAAGAGGCGCGAAGAAATCAAGTGGGAAAATAGAATAGAGGGGGGTTAAAAGGAGAGCCCTGGCTGGGGAGGGTCAGTCTCAGCAATCTATGGAACGCTGTATGGTGCTTCTCAAGAAAGAAATCTTTATTGGAAACAACCGGGCTCCAGGAGATTTACTGGACTTGGGAACTGAGCGTGCAGGCTCTGACAGGTATGGACAGAGATATGTGAGAACTGTTGCCTAGGGGAAAGGGGCTAAAGCATTTTTGAAGTCCAGAAGGAGAGAACGTCTGGAAGCAGCTCGAGCAGACGCCTCCCTAGGTCACTGGGCTGTAAGGAGGAGGAGGAGGCCCAGCACAATCAACTTGCAAGGTTCTGTTATTAAAGCCCATCTCAGTCTAAGTAGTTTTAGCCTTCCCGTGGAGATGATTTCCTGATCTGGTCTACCTTGCTAGGCTGGCATCCGTCTTGCAAGTCCGATCGTGCTGGACCTCCTCATCTTTCTTATACGCCACTGAATCAGGGAGGCATCTTCCTGAGCTGCTTCAGAATGTTATCTTGTAGCTCTGGACTTAAAAAATACTTTAGCCCATTTTGCCTAGGTTCCTGCATATCTCTGTCAAAGTTATCTTCCATATTCTCTACACAATTCAAGTTAGCCCTATCCTATAGCTCACAAGGCTTTCAGTTACAGGACAAAAGAAACAGGTGGAAGATCAGATTGGAACAATCAAAAAAAGTGTTTCAAATCAGGGATCTCAAATTGATAGGCACATTGAAACTAGAGGAAAGAGCACAATTTAAGTTTCCAGATGAGCTCTTTACCACTTAACAACAATGTTCACTTGTTGCTCCTTCATTCTTCTAGCATTTGCCCGAGAACCATTCCAAAAGATTAAGAAATCCAAATTTAGCAAGCAATTTGGCAGACTGCTGTCCTTTGCTGCACAATAAATATGCCTCCTGGGCACCTGATCACTTACCGGGACACCAGCACCATCAGATTGTTTTCTTGGTCCACGTCATACCGTCGAACATAAACGTAATCCCGAGAATACATTGGGTACTGGAAAGGAATGGTGGTAGAGGGAGAAAAAAGGACACCGTCATCACACTGGATGCCCACAGGCAACGCGCCTGGCAAGGGGCACAAAGCGAAGAAAAGAGTCCTTACCGGAAAGTGAGTTACCCAGTGCACAACCTCTGAGCCGGTGACCTGGTCTCTCTCAATCACCTCCAGTTTGATAACTAGGGAGTCCCATTTCTTCCGATATTCAGTATCCAGCTAGAAAAGAAGAACCCACAAACTCTCAGTCAGTTGCCCTAAGCTTCCTGTTTGCTAATGCAATCCAAAACACACTGCAAGGACAACATCAACAATCTTGAGGCCTCCTTGTTTGCTTTCATCTCAGAAAAAAGTTCTTCTCCCACCTGGCGGGTTCATTTTGGGTTCATTTTTGGAGTTTGGGAGATAGGATGGAGTCAGGCTTTCTCTTCCCTCAAAGGGGTATGCATATGAGAACATCAGAATTCAGGAAAGGATAGAGAAAAACCTGAAGGTACCGTTCCATGCTCTTTTACATCCAGAACCTGTTCTGCAGAAGATGCAGAACAGCTACATCTGAAGGCATAAAAAATAAGATAGGAGAATGAAGAAGAGAATAGAACAGAAGGCATTTTGGAAAGCCGGAAGCAAATGTTCTGGGCCAAGGCTGCCTCCCCTTAATATCAGCAGCTACTGCATACACGTTTACAGGTAATCCTCGACTTATGACCACAACTGGGACCGGAATTTCCATTGCTAAGCGATGCAGTCATTAGGCGAAACATCACGTGATCGCACCACTTAGCAACAGCAGTTCCTGTAGTCTCAGCTGCGGTCATTAGGCCAGGACAGCGTGGTCATTAGGTGAGGACCTCATGCTTTTCCTGCCCTGCTCGCCTTTGCTTCAACTCCCCTAACATGCCTATATCCCCCCATCTCTGTCTTATTGGCTGTCCTGCACTTTGCCGCCTACCCCTGCCGCCCCCGCTGCCCAGAGCTGACCTTCCCCATCTTCCTCCTTCTGCCTCTGGCCTGGGGTCTAGGTGCTGGGTGAGAGTGCAGCCCTGGGATGCGAGCTGCGAGTGCAGAAAGGCAGTGGAGCTTGCCCAGCCCGGCCAGGGAGAAGACAGTGGGGCAGCGAGGCATGGTGCTCTCTGTTGCCAGGTGAGGCAAGAGAGCTGGCAGCAGCTCCCCAGGCAAAGATGGAGGCTATGTGGGAGGCACTGTTTGGGGTGGCGGCAGAACTGGAGGAAGTGGAGGGACGTGGGCTTCCCGGAGGCGCAGCACATAATCTGCAGCTTGTGTTGGAAGCGGTCCTGGAAAACTGGCCTGAGGGCTTCAGTGAGAGGTGGAGATGCACCCAGCATTGGCAGAGCCTACCCAGAGGCCCTCTGCTTGCTCTCAGCCCAGCCTTCCTCCTGCAAAGCATCATGAAGAGCCAGCAGCTTCCAGTGTGCTGAAGCCTGCAGACCGGCTCTCCAGGGGTCCTTCCAGTATGTGCTTTGCACCTTTGGAAGACCTCAGAAGCTTTCCGAAAGCTTTCTGCAGCATTGCGAGAATGGGGTGCACTATTTGGAGAAAGGGGTGAGCGGCCTTGGGAAGAAAGCCTGGCATGGCCAGCAACTGCCTTGCATAAGGCAGGCTGGGCGCACCTCATCAGCAGCGGGAGGAAGATGATGAAAGTCAGCTGGGTGCGGCAGGGCCTGCGGAGCACAGGGTGGCTGGGGCTTTGCGCTGTGGCACTGGGGTGGCTGGCCGTGGCATGGGGCGTGAGGCGGCACTCAGCAACAGTGCCGACTGTGCTGGAACTGAAGTAGAAGCCAGGGGCGGTGGCAGGTGGCTGATACTGCTGGGGCTGAGAGACCCCGGGCCTGTAATTCAGCCCCAGCGCTGCCACTAAGGAATGCTACTGTGCAGGGCAGTCAAAAGGGAAGAGATGGGGGGAGATAGGAGGGTGGGGAGAGTTGAAGCGCCCCTGTAATCATAAGTGCAGGCAGGCTGCCAAACACCTGATTTTGATCATGTGACCGCAGGCGTGCTGCAATGGTCATAACTTTGAGGACTGGTTGTAAGCCCCTTTGTTCAGCACCATTGTAACTTCAAACGGTTGCTGAACAAATGGTTGTAAGTCGAGGACCACCTGTATTGGTAGTTGGTCATCAGACTATCAGCTTGACCAAGGAAAGTAGGTGAACCATTTCTTGAAAAAAGTTTATTTTAAAAGGAAATGAAGAGAGAAAAAAGATACATAAAAATTATAAAATACAGTTATTACATGGAAAAGTTTGCAAAGTAATATAAGATAAAGTTAAAGAAAATATAAACTATTCCACTGGAAGAAGTATTGCACTTTTCAAGTTAATTTGGATATTGATGTATTCTCCCTTAGTTTGCCATTCTTCATTTCATTAGAGGAATTGCAAACTAGGGGAGAACACATCACAATTAAACATTGTTTTCAGTAAAAAGAACGAAGCATCCTGGTGCCAGTTATCATATATAAAACCAGCTCAGTGCATTTGGTAGGTATATAAAGTTTAGTAATACAGTATTTAGCAGAAAAAATAATTAGTTGAAAAGGAAAGTCAGCACTTAGGACTTATTTCAAGCCACAGTAAACTATTTTCCAGAATAGCTGAGCTTGCCACCAAATAAGGTAGAACATTCCAGCTCGATTTTTAAATTTCCAATCATTTTTGAATATGTATCAACCATTTTAACAATCATCACTGGAGAAATGTACCAGCAGAAGAACATCTTACACTGATTTTGTCTTGGTGTTATTTGCAGCGACTGAACTATTTTGCTATGCTTCTGAGAGGCCCTTTACGCGCCTCCCAAAATAAGAATAGGACAAAACAGAATGTAGGATGAATTAAATATTTCAGCTAGAGACATCCTACTGTCAGTGAGAAACACAGAAGAGGTGTGGGAGCACTCACCTGCACATTGAAAAACTGTCTCGGAGTCACATCTGTATATGTCCCAAAGACTACAATAGAAAGACAAATGTCATAGCAGCCATTAAAGCAAACACAGGTCTTGGTTAGGCTGCATGTCACAGGTGGGCAACAAGGTGCCTGTGGGCTCTAAAGCGCCTGGACATACCTCTCTTGGTATGTACCAATCTCTCTGCCTATGCCCTACCTATCTAATTAAGTTTTTAAAGATCATTCTCATTTTTAAAAAATGGAAAACAGCAAAGCAGAGCATCCTCCTCTCACATTACCTTTATTTACTTATTTATTTTAATTAGTATCGTTCTGGCCCTCACACAGGCCCTATTAAGCATCCTTAGAAAATAAAAATGGTGGGTGGCTGAAGTTCAGTGCTTTGTATGCCTCCTGGCACCTCAAAAAAAAAGAATGATAAACTCAAGAGTGGGTGTCAGAATGAATTGGCGGAGGGGAGCCTCATCAGTTTGCTGTCTGGTAAATGGGACTTTCATGACCGGCCAGGCCTATCGCAGCAGCCAATTTGTTAATACAGTCACAACATGCTCTCAGTGTGCTTCTTGGTGCAAAAAGGCTGCCAATTCCTGCTGTAGACAGTATGATTTGGCAAAAAATGAGGGGTATGAGGTAGTCTGAACAGAAATACTAGAAAGGGAATATAAAAGGAAAAAGAAAGGGAAGTTAACATTTGGAAGACAGAGAAAGGAGGACACAGATTGGCTTAGGAGCAGGAACTGAGGCTAATAAATCACAGCAAATTTTACTCTGCAGTCACCGGCTAATAGGTAGGTGATATTGGATATGGCAACTTTAAATGTCAACACGTTTCTTTTCCCCATCCAAAAAACCACTGTGTCATTTTCCACTTGTTCAGCAGGGCAAAATTCCCTGAAAAAGAGCCAAACTTGTGAGTCACCCAGAATCTTGAGAAGTAGGCATCTTACAAATACAAAAACTAAAATAATTATTTTAAAAGGCAGCTCTTCCTCCTGCTATTTCTATTCTTAGCCAAATTGCAATATGAGAGAGGCAAGATTCCATCTCTGAATCTGCAGGAGCGCTCAAGGAAACGTTAGCCGGGACAAAGGAAGACTTGACTGCAAAGCTATCTTTGCGGGCCTGCAATACCCTACTTCATCCTTCCCCATCATAGGTAATTTTACCAAGAGGGGGTAGAGCCCTTCGGCATTATGAGCACCTGATTTTCTTATGTCCAGGGAGTTGATCTAATACAGGAGTTGAGCTGCTTGACTGCAGATTCTTTTCTTTCAACAGAAAATAAGACCACCTCTGAACGCACGGAGGCCAAGGCTGCCAAGAGACTAGCAGAAAATGTAGCACCTGAATTTTGCTAGGATGGGTTGGATGCCCGGAAGACTGCCAGCACCTGTACCAGTTTGAGTTTCAACGTATGATAATTTGACACATGGCAGGGAAAAGAATTTTTGGAGGTAGGTGGGAAAGAAACCTCCAACAGGAATGGAAGACTTGTTCCAAACTGCTTCTGTGATACTGCTTTTAGGAGAACTTTTTTCTACTACTAGTTTATTTATAATGCCCATTTGGTTATTCTGAAGACTTACATATTGAATGTAGTCACTTTTTGTGGCTTTTGTAATTTAAAGTAATTTTCAATCTGCTCTAACTCTGAAAGTGGGCTGTAAGCTATTAAAATTAAGTACGTCATTTAGGATGCTCCTGGATACTCAGGAGACAGCAGTGGCAATGCATTTTTGTCTACAGCTCCCATAATCCCTGCACCCTGACCAGGAGGGTTAGGGCTCATGAGAGAAGCTCCATACTTCTGGAAGGCATCAGGTTGCATCCTTATCGCTCTGCTAGGCTCACTACATCGAGAAGCAACTACAGATAGTCCTCGAGTTACGTCCATTCATTCAGCGACTGTTCAAAGTTATGATGTCGCTGAATGAATGGTAGTTATGACTGGTCCTCAAAGTTCCAGCCTTTGCAGGGCCCCTGCAGTCACATGTTTTGGGCATTTGGTGACCAGCCTGCATTTATGACCATCACAGAGTTCCACAGTCAGGTTCTCCCACCCTGTGTGAACTCCCCCCACCCATCCCTCATCCCTGTGCAAACTCCCTTAACCCATCTCCCCCCATCTCTTAACTCAGGGAGCCGCCTACCCCTACCACCTCCCCCACTACTGCTGCCCCAAGTTGATCTATGCTGTCTCCTTCCTCCTGCTGCTGGCCTGGGATCCAGTCGCTGGGCAAGAGTGGGGCCCTGGGACGCATGCAGTGAGTGTGGCAGGGCAGCGGAGCCTTATTTGCTGAAGGGAGGTCACTGGGCCCAGCTGGGGAGGAGGCAGCGGGATGGAATTCGCAGAGGGGGCAGGGTGGCAGTGCAGGTGGAAGAGCCCTGTCTTCTGCTGCCGGTGCGAAGAGTAATAGCATGCAGACTGTGGAGAGTGCAATGGGACGGGACGGCAAGATGTGGTGTGCTCTGTCACTAGGCAAGGCAGGAGAGGTGACAGCAACTCCTTGGGCTAAGATGGAGGATGTAAGGAAGGCACTGTTTGGGGTGGCGGCAGAACTGGAGGAAGTAGAGGAACAAGGGCTTCCCAGAGGCATAGCGCGCACTCTGCAGTTCACATTGGAAGCTGCTGGCCCTTTGTGAGGCTTTGCAGGAGGAAGGGTGATCAGAGGGCCTGCAGGTAGGCTCTGCTGGTGCTGGGCTCGCCTCCACCCCTTGCTGAAGCCCACAGGCTGGTTCTCCAGGAGCACTTCCAAGCTGGCAAGCTCCCTTTGGCAGATGAGGCTCCACCCCCCTGCCACACTCGCCAGGCGTGTGCCTTGGCCATGCCCTCGCCCAGCACCTGGATCCTGGGCCAGCAGCAGGAGGAAGAAGACAGCAAAGGTCAGCTGGGGGTGGCAGGGGTAGATGGCAGAGTGCAGGGCAACCAAAAGGGCTGAGATGGTGGGGGAGATAGGCGGGTGGGGGGAGTTGAAGCAGAGGCAGTTCACACAGGGCAGGAGAAGCGCAAGGTCCTTGCCTAATGACTGCAACTGGGACTGCCAGAGCTGCCATCCTTAAGCGGCACAATCATGTGATGTTTTGCTTAACAATCACTTCACTTAGCGATGGAAATTCCAGTCCCAATTAGGGTCATAACCTGAGGACTACCTGTACAAACAGTTTGGAACCTGTCAGTGATATAAAATGGGCCTATTTGTATACTGAGAGACAATGGAAAATGTTAGGCCTGACTTAAAAATCCCTGAATCTGGATTCTTTAAAGATCATCTTTGCCCATATTAAGTCTTGAAATTGGCTTTAGAGGCTCTGTTTTCTGGTCAATAATTACTCAGGGTTTGATTCACAATTATCAGAGACAGCGCCCCTGGTGGTGGCAAAGCAGGCACAAGCTTTTCTCCCAGGGCAGATCCTGTATGTTATTATTGTAAGGAAAATATATCTTTAGGTGAATCTTTGGTTGAAAGAGACAAGTTTTTAGAGACCTCAGATGAATGGGATCTTCTCTGTGACACTATTGTTTTCCTAGTAGATAGCAGATAACAGAGGGGCAGAAAATAACTTGAGAATTATTGCTTATTTAGGTATGCCTGCATCATCATATGAATATGTATGCGTATGCGTTCTTTTTCCCCTTCCCCTTCTTGTAGAACTGTATAAATATCAAGGCATCCATTTTGCCTATAGGGGAGCGTCTCCCACTAACCTTTGGTGGGGTCCTCCATCCAGTATGCACTGCCTAATAAACACTGCAGTGAAGCCTTCATTATTTTGCATTTGTGTCCTGCATTTTGATTCCACATTATCTTGAATTATATAGTTGGAAGGGGTTAATAAGTCATCCAGCCCAACTCTGCCATGCACACATAAGATTTGTGTACCAAGAGAGGAGTGAACACGAAAGGGGGCACTACCTCGATACTGGTACACATGGGTCCCGCCAACTGGACGCCTCCATAGTTTGAAGTGCTTCTTGTTGATCACCATTTCCCAACTCTGCTCGTCGGGATCAGAAGCAACACCTTTGTAAGCGCTTTGCTCCGGCTCCGGCTCCGGCTCCTGCATCTGATCTTCAGTCTCACTGCTCTGGAAGAACTTAGAGATTTCTTGCATGTGTTTCATTTCTTCCACTGACCTTGGGAGAACAAAAACAAAAACAAAAAAACATATCAGCATACTCTCATCTATTACATG